ATATCTTTTTTTTTTTATATCTTGTCACCTGAGTAGCGATTTGATAAACACACAAAACTTTGTTACACAAAATTTTTTTGTCATTCTGTAAAGAATGTATTTCTTTTAAGAACTTTTTAATAGAAATTCAAATAACTTTATTTGCTCTAGTTGTTCGGTATATCTTTGTTATAATTTTTTCGATATTATTATAGATAGAATTATAATTAGTTATACAATATACAATCTTAATGTTGCAAGAATGTAAAAATATTCATGTTCTTGATATTATTAGCATATTTTTAAATGCATTAAGCACATTTCGATGCTGATGCATCGATTATATAAATATATGATACAAAATATAACAACACAAATAATTTTTATCACACATATATCTTATCACATATACAATAATTCTTATTACATACATGACTAAAACATTAAATCATCGCCTCTACTTACATTTTCAAACGAAAGGTTAAAGGGAATGAGACACGTAAATTGAATAAACGAAGCATTCGTGAAGTTTTTCCTGAAACATACTAGAAAGCATGCTTTTTCACACGGAGATACTGAGAAGTTTCATGATACTTTTTGCTCAAAGTCCAACGAGAACACCTATGCGAAGATCGGTTTACAGTGTCCGTCATATCATATAAAATTCGCAATGTGCTTTATAGCACTGTTGATCTTTATGTATGCAATCTATGTATGCGCTTGACGCTGGATTCACACCGAAATTTTTATGATCCTTATATTTAGAATAAGTTCGCCTATTATGGAATAGGTTTCCAATATGAGATAGCGGGATTTTTGTTAAACTAATAAACGCATGTGATTGATTTTATTATGAACGTGTTATTCACAGAGTGAAACATATTTAGTAAAAAATTCATTATTAAATCATGCATGTAGTAGTTGTGAAAAATTCTTTAAATTGGATGTTGTCAAATTTTATTGAGGTTAGTCTTCAAACCTTGTTTTATTATATAATAAATTGACAATAAAGTCTGCATGCAGTGATAGAATAAGGTCGTATCAAAAATCGTAGGAAAACACGTGATATAATTTGTTTAACTGTAAAGATTAGATGATCACATGAAACCGTAAGGTATGGAAGTCGTAATATGAGATACTTAGGATATTCCTAGCTAATATGAGAACATAAATTCAATATGTCAAAGTATACTATTGAAATATTAAAAATGATGATTCTATTGTTAAGATTACTTATACACACATACTCACATACACGCACATCGAAAAATTATATAATTATTATGTATAATCATTCAAATTCTTTGTTTCTATTTGTAATATAATAAAAACGTGTATAAAAAGCTTACCTTTATTTTTTCCTTAGTTTTCTGTTATGAGATACCATTTCATACAAGAAAACTCTTGCATCTGATATTAATTCTTTATTTGAATGAGCAAAATCACTTTCGATACAAAAATTTCATATACAACAAGTATAGCTACTATCGGTCGCTAACTTTTAGTGATAAATTTTGAATATATTTTCCATAAAATTGACACGAAAATAGGAATTAAGATTGCAAATTAAATAAATTATAAGTCTTTAAAAAAGGTATTTCATATTAGGCGACTTTACCCTACTATTGTGCCACATACACTTCAAGATAAATCAATAATCACGCCGTTGTCTTAGTAAGCAAATTGGAACATTGTTGTACTTAAATAATTATATATTTACGCGTATGACAAAAATTATTTTGAGAACTTTTTGTTAATAATGTTTTTTTTATTCATAGTAATAACGAAACATTATTCTAATATTGTATTGTCAATTTAACGCTTGAAAATTTGCGATAATGTTATTTAATGCAAGTCATCATGAATACATTAAGCCATTCTTGATTACACTGATTGATTACTGATAGATCCTATCTTGCCAAGACATTCCTTGAAGTCCATGGTTAAATCTTAAAAAGAATCGATAAATCAACACTTCCACGAATACATAATGTTGAAAATAACATCGCGTCGTCTGCCGTCAATATATTTGACTCGAGACTTGCATTTCGAAATATGTAACATTCGACGTAGTTTTTTTAATAATCTGATATCCTGTTCTTGGCTCAGCGAGATGATTTGAATATAGATTGCAAATAAAAAGTTTGGAATAATTACAACATTTTTTGGTGTAAATTATGTTATAAGAGTAAAATCGAAAGATCTCTATTTAATTTCAATGATAAATGATTTATCATTTAATAATTTTAAATCATTTAATAATTTTTTTGGAAAGAGAAAAAGAAAGAAGAATAGTAAAAATATCAATAAGATTATTACATATGATTATTTATTACACATTTAATACAAATTACATCGATCATTTATGTGTGCTTTGTGTACTATATGCAATAGTACATACTATATATATTTAGTACGTATTATATTTTAGTACGTATTAATATTTGTACGTATAGTAGTATTAATATTTGTTACCTGTTCTAATATGACTCTTGTGGACTATCCACCTGGAATGATAAACTAATTGAATGATAGTACTTATGTATCCAATAAATTACTGTGACTATATCAATGTATATTCTTACAAGATTTTCATTATTTGCTGTTAGAAACATTCGCTAGAAAATTTTTTATTTTATTTCTAGCAATGTTTATTTGATTGCGATTAAAAATTATCTTTCCAAAACTGACTATTTTTTTTCACAAAAGAAAGTTTCAATAATACCAAAAAATATCTTTATGCAATTTCATTAAAAATAATAGCGATTTACATTAAAAATAACAGCGACATTATATCTCCTATTATCCTTCGTTCCAATGACATAACAGAAATAAATATTATACAAGAAATTCTTCGTTCAGGATGCTTGCGTGTATTTGTTTTGCTCACTGATTCCATTGAGACTATCTTCGAGCACCTCAAACTCTTCGAATTCCATTTTCCCGAAATCATTACCGACTTTCCAGCTTGAATTCACTTCCCATCTTGTCAATGCGCTTGGCATAAATCTACTCGGATAATTGGATCTCGAGTCGTCCAGATCACCCAGTTTAAAGTCAGCTTTGAAGATCTTTCTCGATTCCTTGGAATCTTCTTTTTTTGGCTCCAGACTAATTACCATCGGAGGTTCCCTCTTCATCTGTTTAATTTGCTCAATATCCTCGTCCTTCTGTACCTCATCTTTTTGCCTATTATCGATCGATGTGATCTCGATGCTGGGTGTTTCTGCGATAGTACTTTGTCTGAGATCGGCACATCTACCCCGATTGCGACGTAACGATTGTCCTTCGACGAATCTACCAGTTAACTCCAGTCTACTATCACAAGAGTTGCTCTTCACCAATTTGAACTTTACATAATCATTCGATTCGTCGATTTGCTTGAAGCCATTGCCGATCAACGGCGAAACTAATGGCCCATTGTGCATATTAACCACTTTTCCGCCATAGTAAGTTACAGAAGTGCCGCATTCGCGGATCTTTCGCAGTACGTCTTGAGACACGTAATGCCCCGGACCGCTCGCATCTGCATTATCATCGTTACAATTCACATCTTCGTCATCGGACGATGTACAATGGGCACCACTCCCGGGATCAGTGTCAGGATAATCGCTGGACACGCCGGAACTCACGCTGCCGGAATCCCAGTTTTGATGATGATGATGATGATGATGATGATGATGATAACGATCGACTTTGTTCTTAGAACAATTAGAGTCACTTGGTGACGTGTTTCCGCTTCTAGCTTCGAAACTTTGCGCGAGGATTTTCGTTTTCGATTCGCATCGTGGGCTTCCGATTTCCTCCTTGGCTATAGAAATGGTCGATGACGCGGACTTGGTCTCGAAGAGTCTTGTGAGATCTTTCGCTCTGCTGGAACATCTAGATCTGAACATAATATATTGATTATGGCAGCTGTTCACGAACGATTGAAGAATAAATGGATAATTTTAAAGCTTTAACTTATATATTAGTTGATACATAAATTTTAATTTATGTATCAAATGACTTACTTTTTTATTTAGAACTCTCGCCTGTAATGAAATTTCGATTTAGGAAACGCTATTCTCTTAATCGCGAATAAGAACTATTTAACACACAAACGTTCCAACGTAAACTTCATCACCATTTGCCATCTCATTAAACATAACGTTATCGGGTTGATTTATCTAGAGTACCGTCATCTCGTTTAATTCATCCGCTTCAACTAACGTACTTAAACAGTTGGTCTATAAGGTATATTTATAGTCAAAACACTCACATCCGCATTATGAATAATAAAAGTTTTATTGTCGATGACATTCAATATTACGCTACCTGGATTCTTCGCATGTCTTGTCGGATATTTCATCGTATCGATTGTTGTCAATGCTAGTCAAATCCTTCATGCTGACGCTCCTCCTAGTCTTGTCATCTTTGGAGAATTCAACATCGCTTATTTTCTTTTTTTCGAGAGTGTTCTCGAACATGCGTCTCACGTTTCTGACGGTATCCGGATCCGGTAGCTCTTCGTCA